CTCCCTATTGTCCTCCCATATATGGGATAGTTAGGATTAACCAACTAGTTGGTCCATAATTTTTTTTATCATCTTGAGCTTCATAACTAGTTCCACTATAATTAGACATGACATAAACATAGTCATCATAAGATTCATTTGAGTTAGTACTAGGTCTAGTTCCTATGTTCATAGATCCAAAACTGATCGCCATGTCCTCTTCAGATGGATCAGAGGTATGTGGGCAGTGGACTGTGCATAGATTCATCATATTAATAAATTATAGGGTTTTGGGCAAGGATTAACTATTTTTGGGTTTCAATTTGCTTCAATTGCCTTCAAAACTTCTGAATATTTTTTGGGTTATGTTATGGTTATTGGGAAATATCGGGGATATCGGCAAAATATCTGAAATATCGCACTTATCGGGGATATATCGTCGATACAAGGGAAAATATGGCCTTACCCCCCAGTATCGATGTCGATAGTTGAAAATACCGATATATCTGCCGATATATCGGTGTATCGGCCGATATTTCAATCCTTGCATGTATGTCGAAAATACCCACAACATTCATTCATTTTCTCAGTTAAAACAAGTCAAGCTTTTATCTCAACATCTGGAAAGAGTACGCCTTTATTTCACTAGCATAATCTCATAGTAGTTCAAAAATAGTATTTATCTAGACATAGCATAACAAAGTTATCTCTCCCAATAGTATGTTCAATCCTTCAAAAGATAACAAAGAATCTCCCAACAATAAACACAGGAAACCAGTTCAGTAATAATAAAGTCAACACCAATAGCATCAATTCAATTGAAGAACTTTCCAGTAAGAGAAAGAGTCTCATTCTCCAAGAGCAAGTAGGATCACCTTCTCTTTCATTTTGGCCATATCAAAAGCAAGAGATCAATTTGATAGAATGGCAAGAGGACATCCATGTCATTACCAAAGTATATAAAAAGACACAACCGTCCTACCATTGAACAAATCACCCTTCTACAAAATGTGTAATTTCCGAAGGACTATGCCCCTAGTTATGCTTATAAGTGTTTTTCAAAGCGTTTTTATTGGAAGCACTACAAAATTTATATTAAAAATTGAAGTGATGTTTTCTTTAAAAGAAGCATCAGAAAGCACTGCCAAAATCTTTTAAAGACGCTTTTAATTGCTAGAAAATTACCAAAAGCAATTTCAAGCATGCTGTAACTCGTTTTCTCTTTTGTTTTTTAAGAAAAGGTTACATCTTAGGTTCTACCTGGTTTCGTTTGTTACACCGGATTAGCTTTTCGATTGGAGTATTTTATTCTAATCCTTAAGAAGAAAGGTTGGCTACTATTAAATTTGTTAAGTGAGAATTTAGTTGCTGTTTCAAAATGTCCACCAGTAGGGAGCCAGGGTCCTACTTGGTATTTCAACAGATAGACTTGTAGGGGAAACCATTAGGGACCCCAGAAATTTTCTTGCTTTCCAAATGTGGAAGAGGCTCACACATGAGGGGAAGTGATAGAATATAAAATAATTGATGGTCCAAAATCCTAACAACTTAAACTTCTGGGAATTCTGGTAAGCCAAGAGACTTCAACATCAGAAGCATCTTCATTGGCTTGCCATTCCAATCCTTGAGGAAGGCTCATGTGCCGATCAATGCCATACTTTTCTTCTTCTTCATGACTGGTAGGCTTCCAATTCCTAACCAGAGGAGCCAGGATGTTGACCACATAGCTCATCTCTGGTCTTTGGAATGGATTATGAGCAGTGCAATGTCCTGCTAGCTCAGCGACTTTGCATATACACTCCATTGTCTCCTCATCATGGTTCTTAAGAGTTTCGTCAATAGTCTTTGGAATGTATTCCTTCTTAATAAGGAATCTGCGGAACCATATAACCAAGAGAGACCTTTCATCTGGAATTGTATGATCTAAGGCCTTCTTCCCACTCAAAAGTTGCATCAACACCACTCCAAATGCATAAACATCTACTCTTGTCGTCACTCGTCCGGTAGCTGATTATAGAGACAGATTCAGAGACATCAGTTGTCTAGCATAACTACATTACTGCCATAGTGTTCATAAATTATTGAGAGGTAATAGAAGGGGATCTAATTTTACCACATGTGTGCTATACTTTTTGAAGGATGAATTAAACCAGATTATGACAATTAGACAATAGTAGCATCAATTCCAAGTGAACTCAACTGTCTGTTTTTCCTTCCTTTTTTGGAGTTCTAAAAACTTGTGAAAATAAGAATAAGATTAGCTTGCACTTATGCAACATGCATAAGATTAGCTTTGAAAATCTGATATCCTTGAAGTTTTTAGGTAATGCTCCTTGATTCTCTCAATTAAGACATGAACATATAAAAAAAATAAGTGTGTTTTTATTCTTCACCTGTATATTCTGGTGCAAGATAACCGAACGTCCCTGCTACCCGAGTCTCAACAGAATTCGCATCAGGGGCATGTTTTACCAAGCCAAAGTCGGCCACCTTGGCCCTCATGTCATCCCCTAGAAGAATGTTAGAGGGTTTTAAGTCTCTATGAATGAAACTTTGTGGAGCTAAGCCATGCAGATATTCAACTCCTCTTGCCACATCCAATGCTATTGTGATTCTCTGCCTCCAAGTAAGAGGAGGTACGCCGTTCTCACGCCAATTATACAAGTGCTGTGTTAATGTTCCTTGTGGCATGTACTCGTACACCAAAAGCCTCTCATTTCCATTGATGCAGTATCCTAAAAGAGAAACTAGATGCCTATGCTTGACCTTAGCTAGGAATGCAATTTCTGCCTCGAACTCATTCATTCTTTCAGTGCTCACTGCCACACATTCCATCCTTTTAACAGCAATTCTAGTCCCATCATGCAATTCACCTTTGTAAACAACTCCAAATCCTCCTCTCCCCAATATATTATCCTCGCTAAAGTTGTTTGTCACTTTTCGAAGAACTTCGATCGAAATTGCAACATTTCCACCCTCAGAAAGATGAAGGCCTGTTTTATCACTTGGGATTCCATTGCACCCATTTTCACTATCCACTATCCTTACAATATGCTTTTTATTTTCATAACATTTGATGGACACAAAAAAAAGCACCAAAATGAAAATAACAACAGCAAAAACTATACCATCAATCATACCAGGAGACACTGAAGAACCACCTGATGCCGGAGCCGGACTCCCATTGGGTGTAGTTCCATTCGAACCAGACCCGGATGGAGTTCCTCCTCCTCCACCTCCAGAGCTCGGAGTAGTCCCAATCAAGACATTGCCTGTTGTAATTAACTTCACCGTATCTGGGAATTTCGGAATTTCCCCAAAAAGATTGTTATTGGAAAAATCAAGAAGCTGAAGCTGCTGCAAGGTTAACAAGCTAGCCGGTATCGACCCGGTCAAATTGTTATTCTTCAACACCAAATTTTTCAAAGATGTCAAATTAGCAAATGCAGGCGAAATGATCCCAGTGAAATGCTTCTTCTCAAAATTCACAGTGATAACCTTTCCTTGCGTATCACAAACAATGAAGCTCCATCCATCGCAAGTATTGTTTCCTTCCCAAGACTCAGCAAGCAAAATTGGGTACCCCAAAGCCCCTGCAACCTCAAGCAGAGTGTTGACCTGCGGATCACAAGGTCCTGGTTTGGTTAGGCAGAAGCTATTAGTACCATCAAATGTGGCTTTCACATTGGACCCAAACACAGGCAGAGGACCCTGCAGCTTGTTATTGTCCAAAGAAACATTTTGTATGGCAGTTGAGGACATCAATGTGGCTGGCACAATGCCAGTTAACAGCTTATCACGAAGCTGAAGATCAAACAAAGCTTTACACTTTGAGATGTCTGGGATCGGACCAGTGAATTGGTTCTTATGGAGCCAAACCTGGTTTAACTGGGTCATGTTTGATAAAACTTCAATCGTACCAGATAACCCAAATTGCTGATTGTTAAGCCAGAGGTTTTGAATCCCAGATCCAGAAAAGCTTTTGGGCAAAAACCCAGAAAAATTATTGTAAGAAAGCCTCAGACTTTGCAAGTTTGGAAAGGAATCAAAGATATCAGGCAAAGACCCATAGAAGTTTGCATTACCTGCAGCTAAAGTGACCAAGCTTGAAGCTTGAATGAGCTCAGTGGGGAAAACCCATGGATCAAGATTGATGTTTTGGCTCATGCTCAAAACCTGCAAGTTTGAGAGGCCTTGAAAACACCCAGAAGGAATGGAAGAAAAATTGTTGTTGTCCAGATAGATCTCTTGGAGAGAAGAGAGGTTGGCTAAAGAAGGAAAGGGGCCAGAAAGAGAGTTGCTTTGGAGTGAGAGGGTGGTGAGGTGAGTGAGAGAGTTGAGATTTGAAGGGAGAGAGCCAGAGAGAGACATGGAGGATAAATTGACGGAGGCGACTCTGTTTCCGACACATTCGATCCCCTCCCAGTCGCAGTAGGTTTTGCCTGTTGACCAGTCTTCGGGTGTGTTCTTGTGGCCTTCTGCAAGCTTCGACATCACAGCTGAGTCGTCTGCCGCTGTGCTGCTGCTAAGGAAGAGTACACAGAGTGCTAGAAAGAAAGCTAGCCTGGTTTGCAGCAGCAGAACCATTTTTAGGTTAGAGTGAGTGAGAGATGCATCTGGTTTCTTTGGTTAATTAGGTGATAACGTGTGGACTTAACACCAAATACTTCGACCATTATCCATTTTCGTTGCTAGTTCTTTGACTTCACTTTCGGATGCCTCCATTCTGGCGGTTGGAAGCTTCCCTGAACAAACACCATTGGCGCCAGTTTAGGCATAGTCACCTCTTGCCAAAACTTTAAATTTTTTTTTTTTTGTTTTTTTTTGTTTGGGGGTCGGAAACTTAAAATATTACTTTAAGCTAGCTTCTTCAACAGGAAAACATTTTCTAACGCCAGTTTCAGTCTGTAGAATTGAGTTAGTCTAATTTCCAAATTTTGTCCTAAGTAAAAGCAGAAGATGAATTTAGTGATAAATTAAGGTAAATGATTTTCCCACTCCCCTTTTATCCACCTACACTCCGTTTAGAAAAATGAAATTTAAGTAGATAAAAAGAGAGTGAGAAAATCAGTCTCCTAAATTAAACGTTATTTTTCAATCTATTGAGTCCAAAATAGAGTCTAACTTAAAGTAACCTTCAGTCACTAACGTACTTTGGTAGATGATGCTAAAATCTGTAAAAGAGATAAGCTTCCTAAGAACCTTGACACTGGCTGAAGGCACTCCAATGCACGAGGTAATCGTTAATTCGCACAAGTATATATGTAAAATTAATTCCCTAGTCCACACTTGTGCTAAACTTAAGGTTAACTTAGCTTTGTATGTGATCCAATTTGAAACGATTTGTATGCATATGAAAGAAAGAGAAAATTAATGGAACCCAAGAAGGCTCCATACGCCTATATGCTTTTATATCACAACCTTTGCCTTTTACTTTATGAATCAATACCACTTATTTCTATGCTTTGCTCGTTTCTTTGACCACATATTAAACAATAGAAATCAGGATTTCTTTTGCACACGCTCACAAAAGATCACTCAGGTAATAATTTGCCAAATTAGAACTTCTTGCATGGACATTTAAATTATCTAATCTCAGCTCTATTTGAACATACTCACACCTTGTGCATTCTGTCTCCCCTTTGGGGTCTCAAGATATATATATATACATGTGAGAGAGCTCTATGCTTCAAAAACATATATCCCAGCTCTGTAACGATCAAAGCAGCAAGAGATCAAATGGGACCTCTGGTTTTCTTTCTCTTCCCTCTCCTTGGTCTTTCATGTAAGTTTGTGAGGCCATATAGTTAAAATCATCACTTTGCTACTTGGTATAGGTATGCATCCCCTTTTTCATGTCTCCACTAACTCCTTTTTTGTTTCCACTTGACAGTTGCAGAGATCTCAAGCAAAATTGGCATAAACTATGGGCAGCTTGGCAACAATTTGCCATCCCCAAACAGCTCCATTGAGCTCATCAAATCCATGAATGCAGGGCGTGTGAAGCTCTACGACGCCAACCCGGAAATCTTAAACCTCCTGTCTGGCACCAATCTGCAAGTCTCAATTATGGTCCCAAACAGTGAAATCTCAATCATTGCATCAAACCAAGCCAAAGCCGATGAATGGGTTCGAAACAATGTCCTTCCCTATTACCCCCAGACCATGATCCGGTACCTCCTTGTAGGCAATGAAGTCCTTAGCTACAACTCCTCGGACCAAGATCGCCAAATGTGGCTTGATCTTGTCCCTGCCATGACTAAAATTAAGTCCTCCCTCAAAGCGCAAAATATCACAAACATCAAAGTAGGTACCCCATTAGCCATTGATGTGTTACAATCAACATTCCCACCATCAAACAGCATGTTTAGGCCCGATATCTCCAATTCGGTCATGGCCCCAATGCTAAGATTTTTGAACCGGACCAACTCCTTTATGTTCATTGATGTGTATCCTTATTTTCCATGGTCTTCAAACACCACGAACATTAGTCTAGACTTTGCATTATTTGGAGGAAACAACAATACCGACTGCTACACTGACCCGGGAAGTGGGTTGATCTACACTAACCTCCTAGACCAAATGCTTGACTCATTGATCCATGCCATGGCCACGCTAGGGTACCCGAACATCCGGCTTTTGATCACGGAGACCGGCTGGCCTAATTCTGGTGACATCGAACAGCCTGGTGCTAATATACATAATGCAGCCACATATAACCGAAATTTGATACATAGAATGGTCGCTAAGCCACCTCTTGGGACACCAGCTAGGCCTGGTGTAGTCATACCTACGTTCATATTTTCATTGTTTGATGAAAATCAAAAGACAGGGCCAGGGACAGAGAGGCATTGGGGCTTGTTGCATGCTGATGGAACTCCCATTTATGACATTGACTTGGCAGGCAAGCTCCAAAAATATGTTCATTTATCGCATGATTTTACTTACAATTTTCATATAATTTCTATTTATATTGAAGTAAAATTATTTGTACCATCTTAATTGACTGTTGAGTGTAAAATCTGTCTTTCTAATATATAAATCAAACATATTTAATTAGAAAGATGATACACTAGATAGTCAATTGAGATGATACAAATAACAAAACTCGTTCTTTCGCTAAACCTGCATTTTTGGAATTTTGGTATTTTTATTAACATCGATATTTAATACCTTGATTACAGGAAAACGGCGATTGGAGGACTACGAGCCCTTGCCGGAAGCGAATAATAACAGTCCTTACAAGGGCAGCGTGTGGTGTGTGGTTGCTAAGGGTGTAAATAATGATGAGTTGGGTTCGGCGTTAACCAATTTGTGCAATAGTGGTGCAGGGAATGGTACGTGTGATGCGCTTTCACCAGGGAAGGAGTGCTATGAACCAGTCTCAGAGATTTTGCATGCGAGCTATGCCTTCAGTTCCTACTGGGCCAAGTTTAGGAGCCATGGAGCTACTTGCTATTTCAATGGGCTGGCAGAGCAAACCACTGTGGACCCCAGTAAGTTTTCTTTCTCTGCAATTAATGGAATGGAAGATGTTCTTTACCCATGCGCTCAAGGGATTAACAGCATTTACCAATGCTCTCATCCTAAGTGACTAATTAGTCCTCTCGATTTTCTCTTCCGGTTTTTCACTTTTGATATATAATTTAAGCAGGTCATGGATCTTGCAAGTTCCCTAGTGTGACTCTTTGAGGATGACCAGAAATATACGCTTCTCAGCAAAATAACAGCATCAGGCCAAGACATATACTTTTATGGACACCTCTGGATGATATTGGAGCCGTGTTCAACCACTTTGTCATTCACAGTTTCGTCATACTTTTAGGGAGGCTATTAACAATGTGGTGCATTTTGTATCAGATAGAAAAAGAAAGAAAAAAATAAAAAACAATGTGATGCATTTTTAGCCTGTTTTGCGCTCTCTATTTGTGAGGTCACTCTAGTATAATTTGAAGAATGTAACTAGCATGATCTCTAAGATGGCATATAGATATAAATCAAAAAAATCAAAAAATAAAAAGCCAATTAGCCCTTTAGTATGTATTATTAATTTTTTTTTTGTTGCTCTTGCACATAAAAAAAAAAAATGGTTGCCATGGGGATGCTGGCTCCCCCTCTAAGGTCATTCCCAATGATTGGGGCTTTAAAAGAGGTTGATAGAGTCTTATTTAGGGTTCCGATGGAATCTTTGAGGCTCTAAAGGAATCACTTTCACAACAGAAGGGCTCTATATTCGATATAATTTTATATATTTGTTATTTTTAAAATAAATAAAAATGATTTTCTTTAATGTATATTATAGTATGTTAGGTTTTTTTTTTGGGTGAACATTTCGAAAAAAAAAATTCAAAATTTGGACAAGATTTGAAAATTTTTCCTATGAAAAAAAAAACTAGATTGTTGCCTTGAAAAAAAAAAAAAGGAAAGCCTCATCTGTTAAAAAACACAAAAAGAAACCCTATCTAGCCCATCCCCTCTCATTGGTCACATTAAATAAAATATAAAACAAAGAGAAGTAATCATTGGTCAAGAAGAGAGTATCATGAGCTGCAGTCACAAGGCAAGTCACCAACAACGCATATGGGTTGACAGCTTTTTCTTTATGTAGGCCTCATTCGGTTTCAGAGGCTTCAACCGTGAGCATAAATCTAGTATAACTCCGATGGGGCTCAATCATTTAAGGCCTCAAAATTGAACTAGGGGATGACTTTTTTGCTTTAGTTGCTATATCTTGCAACCCAAGGGTGGTGCAGCCCACTTTATAGCCCCCATTGAAGATGGCCTAACTCAAGGACCAAAAGTCCATTTTGGGGAAAGTGTGGTCCCTGGAGGTACCTCCCAAACTCAGTTTTTTTAATTGGAGGGCCATTCATAACTCTCCTTCTTGTAAAACTAATTTAGTCAAGGGGAAAATAGTATATGATGACTCTTGCCCCATTTGTAACGTAAATTCTGAAAAGTTAATTCATGCAGTTTTGGAGTTGTCCTGGTGCTCAAAAAGTCTGGAAGAAAGTGAGATTTGTGGAGGTTTTTAAAGGGTTGCATTTGTCCGCCATCTCCAACGCAAGGGGCTAAACCTAAAATTTGGGATTTTAGCCTAAAAACTCTCCCCAACGCAAGTATAGGTAGGCTAAATTATTACCTAGCTGGTTTTTCAGGCAGGATTTGGGACCATTTAGCAGTCCAGGCAATAATTTTTGTGGGGCCCAAACTAAATCCGCTTGAAGGAGCAGGCACATCAAGACAAAAAGTCATCCACTTTCACTTATTAAAACTGGACACATGGCATGTGCTCGTATTGACCATTTGCATCCAATGGTTGTATTTGAACTTGCTCCTTTTGTTTTTTTTAAAATTATTATTTTAAAGTGAAATAATTTTATGTTTGTTTTTTTTTTACTATGCTCCTGTGCTCATTTTCAAGTGAAATAATTTTATGGTTGTATTTGAACTTGCTCCTTTTGGTTATTTTTACCGTGCTTCTGCACTCATTCTCATTTTAAGTGAAATAATTTTATATTTTGGATTTTTTAAGTTAAAATTCTTGAAAAAATCAATTCAACGAAGGTTGAAACAAAAATAATGTCAAGAAAAATTAACGAGAAAAAAAATGTTTGAGTTCGGACAATACGTGAATAGTTGTATTTTGAAAGGGAGAAATTTGGTTTTAGCCCCATTTGGATTGGAGATGGCATTACGGTGATTTCTTTGAGGCTGCTACCGTTTTTCTTTCAAAATTTGAATTGCATGTATACATCTGCCGGAGTATTTGGCAAAACAGAAACAAGGTTGTGTTTGAAGCCTGCTCTCAAACAGAGGAGATGATTTTTAATAGAACATTGCAGCTGGCAGAGGAGTATGGAGGAGGGCTAATGAGAAGGGAGCCTAACATAGTTGTTGAGAAAACATCCAAATGGTCTCCCCGTCCTGTTGGTAAATTTAAACTCAATATAGATGCTCCTTATATTCCCGCTGTTGGTGGAATTGGTGCTGTCATTAGAAATGACAAAGGTGAAGTAATGGCCGCTATGACGCTTCCCCTTGACAACGCCACCTCCCAAAAGCATGCCAAGATTAAGGCAACTTCAATTCAAGTTGAATTTCACTCGGGATGCTGGATTCTCTTTATTGGATAAACAAAAATCAATGACTAATAAAAATGATTACATATATATCAACAACATATAAACACCAACGAAATTGAATTTATAACAAACTGTAATTTGAAATACAATAAATAATAAATAAATGAATTAACTTGGATTTGAGATAGAAGTTTGCAGATTTGATACAATGTCCTAACCTTCCAAGATTTAACTATCTGTATTCTAAGCCCTAGTACTGAGACTTAGAATCTGGCGAACTTTGATTGTTTTCCTATAAGACAATTTGAAGCCCTAAATGCGCTAAACACTATGCCCAAATGACTTTTACTTGGCCCAACTTTCATTTACTAAGTGTGAGACTTCCACAGTTATAGAGAGCTCACTCTTTCTTCTTTCTACCAATGTGAGACAAATGTCCTTGAATTTCATTCAAACTTCCAACACTCTTCTATCATATGTTTGAATCTGATTCACAAGTAGTGATTAATAACTTGATTATTGATGAGGAGTCATCTTTTGCGTCGTATGCGCATCTCATTGATGATGTTAAGAGGACTATGCAATAGTTTGAGAATATTTCAGTTTTTTTCATTCCAAGGGGTAGTAATCTGGTTGCTCGTGTGTTAGCTAAACATGCTTTAAACTGCATCACTATTGTAACCTGGATTGAAGAGCCTTTGGTTGGAGCCTTTCCTACTAGATGATACTGTTGTACCCTCTTGATTTGGTTAATGAATTCCAATTTGCACAAAAAATAAAAATAAAAACTTGTCTACTTTTCAAAATTTCAAGTGATTGCCCTTAAAACATTAACGTTTGTGGTCCGCGCGGCGGGTTTCACTTGATGCACTTGTTTTTTGGTAGAAGCAATTGATGCACTTTGGTCAACTTTCTCTAGTTCTTCTCACTATTTAAACTTGGTTATTGAAATGGGCGAATACTTCAAAGATCCCAATCTATATCACAATTTATATATTTGGTCGGCTGAAGATCCCAATCATTACACTTTGTCAAACAGTTTGAACTCGTCTTTGTTTTTCTCGCTTCCTATCTCTGTCCTTCTGGCTATATCCATAATCTACAGACAGTCAAACCCACAGTTACAAAAACAGAGCCATGTTAGGAGCTGTGGTAAACCCAATTTCCACAGTTTCTTCTTCTGCTTCTGCAAATCAAATGGCCACCATTTCCTCTAGGAACAACTTGGTCTTGGTTAGCTCTTCTCATTGTGCTCATGCCCTTCAATTCCTCTTTTCTAACTATAAATTCAGAACCAGGCAAGTCTTTCTTGGAACATGGAATGGAAGGCGAGGTGGGTTCCCTCTGAATCGTGGGTTCCGAGTGTTTTGCCAATCAAAGGTGATTCTTGAACACCCTTGTGAGAATTTCGATGAATTTATTACTTTGATTGGTCTTTTTTTGATTTGTATTGTCATTTTTCTGCTCTTTTTAATATGTTTTGGTTCGTAATGTTGCCTGCCAAATGTTACTAATTCTATCAGTGTTGGTGAGAATGTGCATGAGATGGCATTCCCCTGAAATAGAAGTTGGGGTTTAGATCATTCATAGACATTTAAAATGTGAGGTTTAGTTTATGCCATCAGGTGCTTGGTATTAGAGAAATTGAACATGTTCATATCAGATGCTTTGCAGATTAATTTTTAAGTACGGAATAAGACAACGTATATGCTCTGATGATCCAAAGTATATGTATTGAAACAGAGATAGAGGGAACTGACATATATTTGTATTCAAAATATTCTGTTACAGACAGAGGAAATGCAGATAAGAAGGTATTCACCATTTCTAGAAAGTGCGTTCCTAGACAGGAATGGTGCCTTTGTGTCCGGTGAGTGGCATGCAGTGCCGGACATTTGGAGATCTTCAGCTGAGAGATATGGTGATCGCGTAGCATTGACTGATCCATACCATGATCCACCTTCAAGTATGACTTATAAACAGGTTAGTTTTCTTTTCCGCTTTTAATTCTCCCCTTCATATTTGTTTTATCACGACTATTTTTTCCTTTTTCTTTTTTAAATGCTGAATCCCATTGCCTCCATATTCAAGTCTCTGAACTTTGAAGGAATTCCTCGGGTCCCAAAGCATCAATCCTTGCACTTGTAAATTCTCCAGAGTCAATAAAGAAAATGGCTTGGGGATTAGTTTCTTCCTTCAGAAGGGGATGGGGGGTTTATTCATTGATAGGATTACCTCCTGGTTCTTCTGCTAGGAGCTTACTTCCTGTTCCAGAACCCTGCATGGGCCTGCAATGGATCAAAAAACTGTTATTCCTCATTTTTGTTTCTTTACTCCTTTGTATATTAGTGAAGATTGTGCCTTAGGATTTAGGAATACTAATACACATTTTAGGATTTTCAGTTTGTTAGTGTGTAATGTGGAGTTTGGGATCAATTTTAAGTTAACACAAATTAGAAAATGGTGATAATTTGAAGGGTTTGACTGTGCAGATGACATAAATGTTAACTTAACAGGGTGGCTAATTTCTTAGTGTTGTTGTACACTTGATTACTGTCAAGTTTGTGGGTTGAAGTAGGATCTGTGAGCAAGAATGAAACTGCATAT